CATGTCTAATGGATGTCAGTTATCTCCTGCTAATTCCCCTCTCAAGGTTCTCCACCGCCTCAAGGACACATGGCACAGTGGATAAAGGCGTTAGTTAGATCCAGTGACAGGACCCAAAGAGTGTGAGTTCAATACCCGGTTAAGGCGGTAGAGAACTCGGAGAGGGGAATTAACAGGAGATAACTGACATCCATTAGACATGGCACGTGGAACTAGAACAATGAGCGAAATAAAGGGTTCAGTTCGACATTCCAACCACCTGAAGAAGGCCGGAGCGTACAGCGGCCGAAACGTTGTGATAAACATGTCGAGAAAGATGAGGACAATAGTCCGAATAATGTAAATAGTGTACTTAATACCTCATCTCAGAAATATAGAGACATTAAAATTCAGTCAAAAATTTTCCTTTATATGATGTGTACAATCTGCGTCTTGTCAACGCCAATATTGTTTTAAGAAAAAAATCGATGGATAATTTATTTTTATAAGAATTTTTTCATATTTTTAGAAATTTTAATTATAATAATTTATCATAATTTAAAAATCGTTTAAAAATCTCACATACCGTATTTCCTTTGGTGAAACTATATTTACAAATCAAAAATTGAAAAGTTTAATATAAGTCGTTTTGGAGCAATATTTTTTTAAATAATCTCTTTTTCTACTTTCAGCATTCCCATTTTTCATCTATGATAATCCATATGTAACGTTATTATGAAAAGGTCATGTGTTCAAAGAGTTCTTCTTTTCAAAGAGAAATTCGCTTTCTCCAAATGGTTTTTCATTGCTTATGTTTCGACAGGTTTTGAACGTCACACCTTCAGTTTTATAACTTTAAAATTCAAATTTTTATATTTTTTAATTTCTATTTCACGCAGTATTTTTATTACATGTATTTATTTTAGTGTGGGTCATAAATTATTGAATTACCTCTATCAAGGTATTTCATCTCAGTTATTAAATTTTAAAATTAATCGAAGAGAATTTCATAGTATTTTAAATTTTATTATTTTTTCATAAAGCATCTTCAAACATAACTAAAAGTCAATAAAATATTAGATAACTGCTGAAAACATGTTAATTTGTAAAAATTACTAGGTAGTTAAAAACAAATAAAAAGTGAGTTCACGTAGATTTTGCAAATTTATGTCAATTCTGGTCATCCATACTAGAAGTCAACACCTGAGAGCTTATCGATACATCAATAACGACAAAAGGGACACGTCGTTAAGTAAAGGCATGTATACTAATTTTTGATAAGTAATATTTTTTTTTTAATTAGATTAATTTAACTTTAAATTTTCTAATTTTTCTCAAATAACGTGTTTACAAATGTATATTTTACTTTTGGAATATTTTAAAAGCGATAATTAAATTTTATTTTAAAACTTGTTAAAATGTAAATCTTCTCCAGTTTCTATAATCGTTTTTTTCGTATATTTCTGTTTTTATATTTTCTCATTCCCCTTCCCATTTTTTTTATTTCTTCCGTCTTTTTCCTCTTCTATCTTTTTTCCAATTTTTCTTCTCCTCATACCACCTTTCTTCCAATTTTCCTTCTCCTCATACCGCCTTTCTTCCAATTTTCCTTCTCCTCATACCACCTTTCTTCCAATTTTCCTTCTCCTCATACCACCTTTCTTTCAATTGTCCTTCTCCTCATACCACCTTTCTTCCAATTGTCCTTCTCCTCATACCACCTTTCTTCCAATTGTCTACTCCTCATACCAACTTTCTTCCAATTGCCCCTCTCCTCATACCACCTTTCTTCCAATTGTCCTTCTCCTCATACCACCTTTCTTCCAATTGTCCTTCTCCTCATACCACCTTTCTTCCAATTTTCCTTCTCCTCATACCACCTTTCTTCCAATTTTCCTCTCCTCATACCACCTTTCTTCCAATTTCCTTCTCCTCATACCACCTTTCTTCCAATTGTCCTTCTCCTCATACCACCTTTCTTCCAATTTTCCTTCTCCTCATACCACCTTTCTTCCAATTTTCCTTCTCCTCATACCACCTTTCTTCCAATTTTCCTTCTCCTCATACCGCCTTTTCTTCCAATTTTCCTTCTCTCCTCATACCACCTTTCTTCCAATTTTCCTTCTCTCATACCACCTTTCTTTCAATTGTCCTTCTCCTCATACCACCTTTCTTCCAATTGTCCTTCTCCTCATACCACCTTTCTTCCAATTGTCTACTCCCTCATACCAACTTTCTTCCAATTGCCCTCTCCTCATACCACCTTTCTTCCAATTGTCCTCTCCTCATACCACCTTTCTTCCAATTGTCCTTCTCCTCATACCAACTTTCTTCCAATTTTCCTTCTCCTCATACCACCTTTCTTCCAATTTTCCCTCTCCTCATACCACCTTTCTTCCAATTTTCCTTCTCATACCACCTTTCTTCCAATTGTCCTTCTCCTCATACCACCTTTCTTCCAATTTTCCTTCTCCTCATACCACCTTTCTTCCAATTTTCCTTCTCCTCATACCACCTTTCTTCCAATTTTCCTTCTCCTCATACCACCTTTCTTCCAATTTTCCTTCTCCTCATACCACCTTTCTTCCAATTTTCCTTCTCCTCATACCACCTTTCTTTCAATTGTCCTTCTCCTCATACCACCTTTTCTTCCAATTGTCCTTCTCCTCATACCACCTTTCTTCCAATTTTCCTTCTCCTCATACCACCTTTCTTCCAATTGTCCTTCTCCTCATACCACCTTTCTTCCAATTTTCCTTCTCCTCATACCACCTTTCTTCCAATTTTCCTTTCTCCTCATACCACCTTTTCTTCCAATTGTCCTTCTCCTCATACCACCTTTCTTCCAATTTTCCTTCTCTCATACCACCTTTCTTCCAATTTTCCTTCTCCTCATACCACCTTTCTTCCAATTGTCCATCTCCTCATACCACCTTTCTTCCAATTGTCCTTCTCCTCATACCACCTTTTCTTCCAATTGTCCTTCTCCTCATACCACCTTTCTTCCAATTTTCCTTCTCCTCATACCACCTTTCTTCCAATTTTCCTTCTCCTCATACCACCTTTTTCTTCCAATTTTCCTTCTCCTCATACCACCTTTCTTCCAATTTTCCTTCTCCTCATACCACCTTTTCTTCCAATTGTCCTTCTCCTCATACCACCTTTCTTCCAATTTTCTTCTCCTCATACCACCTTTCTTCCAATTTTCCTTCTCCTCATACCACCTTTTCTTCCAATTTTCCTTCTCCTCATACCAATTGTCCTTTTTCTTCCAATTTTCCTTCTCCTCATACCACCTTTCTTCCAATTTTCCTTCTCCTCATACCACCTTTCTTCCAATTTTCCTTCTCCTCATACCACCTTTCTTCCAATTGTCCTTCTCCTCATACCACCTTTCTTCCAATTGTCCTTCTCCTCATACCACCTTTCTTCCAATTTTCCTTCTCCTCATACCACCTTTCTTCCAATTGTCCTTCTCCTCATACCACCTTTCTTCCAATTTTCCTTCTCCTCATACCACCTTTCTTCCAATTGTCCTTCTCCTCATACCACCTTTCTTCCAATTTTCCTTCTCCTCATACCACCTTTCTTCCAATTGTCCTTCTCCTCATACCACCTTTTCTTCCAATTTTCCTTCTCCTCATACCACCTTTCTTCCAATTGTCCTTCTCCTCATACCACCTTTCTTCCAATTTTCCTTCTCCTCATACCACCTTTTCTTCCAATTTTCCCTCTCCTCATACCACCTTTCTTCCAATTGTCCTTCTCCTCATACCACCTTTCTTCCAATTGTCCTTCTCCTCATACCACCTTTCTTCCAATTTTCCCTCTCCTCATACCACCTTTCTTCCAATTTTCCTTCTCCTCATACCACCTTTCTTCCAATTGTCCTTCTCCTCATACCACCTTTCTTCCAATTGTCCTTCTCCTCCCATACCACCTTTCTTCCAATTTTCCTTCTCCTCATACCACCTTTCTTCCAATTGTCCTTCTCCTCATACCACCTTTCTTCCAATTGTCCTTCTCCTCATACCACCTTTCTTCCAATTTTCCCTCTCCTCATACCACCTTTCTTCCAATTTTCCTTCTCCTCATACCACCTTTCTTCCAATTTTCCCTCTCCTCATACCGCCTTTCTTCCAATTTTCCTTCTCCTCATACCACCTTTCTTCCAATTTTCCTTCTCATCATACCTCTTTTCTGTTCTTTCTTTATTTTTCCTTAATATTTCCACAATTTGTTTGTCAAATTCACTAAACCCAGCAAGCGGTTCCTTACGCAATCATTTCATTCTTATAATCAGGTTAATATTTTATTATTCCATTTCTTTATTTATTGAAATCGGAAATATGTTTTTATGCTTAATTTATTTTTCTTGTCTCATCAAATTTTCATCCATGTCAACAACAATTTTTTAAAATTCCCTTCCTTTATTTTTCATCACCGCGTGACTTTTTTTTTTTTTTCTGTTTCGTTTTTCGCTGTTAATTATTCCGTCTTTCATTCCAATTTTTGCATTTGTTGTTTTCATTATTGCAGATTTTTATTTTTAAAACGTCTGTGATTATTTTTCTGGGTGATATTTTTGGGTTTCTTTTTTTTAAGTTTATCTTCTGTCTCTTCTTGTTATATTTCTTTCTTTCTTTTCTATTCTCTCTTTCTTTTTTTTCCTTTTCGCCTTTTCTTTCTTTCTTGAATCCTTTCTTTCTTTTTTTTCTTTCTTACAGAGTTTTGCTTTGCATGTCCATAGAGTAATCCATTCATTTCTTTCTTTCTTTCTTTCTTTCTTTCTTTCTTTCTTTCTTTCTTTCTTTACCCTCCCTTCATCCCAATCTTTATTCGCTTCTCTCTTTCTTTCTGTTCTATTCCCTCTTTCTTTTCTTTCCTTTTAGACTTTTCTTTCTTTCTTTAATTCTTTTTTCTTTCTTACAGAGCTTTGCATGTCCATAGAGTTAGCCATTCATTTCTTCTTTCTTTCTTTCTTTCTTTCTTTCTTTCTTTCTTTCTTTCCTTTTTTCTTTCGTTCCTTCTTTCTTTTTTTTCTTTCTTTGTCTTCCCTTCATCTCAATCTTTTTTCGCTTCTCATTGTCTTCCTTTCTTTCTTTATTTCTTTGTTTGTTTGTTTGTTTCTTTCTTTCTTTCTTTCTTTCTTTCTTTCTTTCTTTGCCCTCCCTTCATCCCAATCTTTTTTCGCTTCTCTTTTTCATTCTTTTTTCCTTTGTTTGTTTGTTTCTTTCTTTCTTTCTTTCCTTCTTTCTTTCTTTCTTTCTTTCTTTCTTTCTTTCTTTCTTTCTTTCTTACTTAGCACTTCTTTGTTATCTTGTTTGTCTATAGATTAATTAATTCACTTTTGTTTCTTTTTTTCTTTTTCCCTTCCCTCTTTCTTTTCTTTTTCTTTTCACTTCTTTCACATTTCCCCATTTTTCTTCATTCTTTCTTTCTCATTTCTCGTCTTTCCTCTGCGTCATTTTTCTTGGGTTTCCCCTTTTATATTTCTCCTTAATTCTTTCTCTCTTCTTTTTTTCTCCAATTTTATCTCTCTTTTCTATTTTTACTAAGTTTCGTCTTTTCTCTACTTCCTACTTTCTTAGGTTTCTCATTCTGTTACGTTCTCCTTTCTTTCTTTCTTTCTTTCTTTCTTTCTTTCTTTCTTTCTTTCTTTCTTCATTATGTTTGTCTTTCATCTACCTCCTTCTTTCTTATGTTTTTCTTCTTCTATGTGCCCCTTTAATTCCTTATTTCTTTCTTTCGTTCTCTCTTTTTCTATTTCCCATTATTTTTCATCTTTCCTCTCTGCCCTTCTTTCTATGTTCCGCTTTAATTCTTTCCTTCCTTCTTTCTTTCTTTCTTTCTCATATTTTGTCTCTCCTATTTTTACTAACTTTCGTCTTTCCTACTTTCTTCTGTTGTTCATTCTATTATGTTCCCCTTTCTTTCTTTCTTTCTCTCTTTCTTTCTTTCTTTACTTATTTATTTATTTATCTATCTATCACTTTCTATTCTCCTTATCTTTTGTCTTTCACCTACCTCTTTTTTCTTATTCTTTCTTCTTCTATGTGCCACTTTAATTCCTTATTTCTTTCTTTCATTTTCTCTCTTTCTATTTTCCATTATTTTTCATCCCTCTCTCCCGCTCTTCTTTCTGTTCTCCTTTAATTCTTTTCTTTCTCCCTTCCTTCCTTTCTTTCCTTTCCTTTTTTCTTTCTTCTTTTCTTCTATTTTATCTCTCTGTCTATTTCTATTAACTTTCGTCTTTCCTCTTTCTTCTGTTTGTTACGTTCCCCTTCTTTCTTTCTTTCTTTCTTTCTTTCTTTCTTTCTTTCTTTCTTTCTATTCTCCTTTATCGTTTGACTTTCATCTACCTCCATTTTTCTTATGCTTTTCTTCTTCTATGTCCCCCTTGAATTCCTTCCTTCTTTCTTCCTACCTTTCTTTCTTTCTTTCTTTCTTTCTTTCTTTCTTTCTTTCTTTCTTTCTTTCTTTGTAATTAACTTTTCTCTCCCTCTCTTTCTATTTTCTTTTCCCTTTCGTTTTTCCTCTGCATCTTTTTTCTTTCCCTTTACCCATTTCATTCCTTCTTTCTTTCTTTCTTTCATTTTTTTTTTCTTGCTGCCATTTCAAAGCGCTACTCCGCGCCCCGATATCCAACCACACGGTGTGACTTCGCAAATGACATCATTAAAATATACCCCAGAGATATCCACGACTTTGACGGAGAGATTATACACTCCTTCGCACTTAGACCCTTCATCACTGCACGACAAATAATGCATATTAACGCTCAGCGAGTCATTGATTAAATATAATTGAGCAAGGTACAAGGTACTGCCCGGAATAAAAACTTAGAGCCTGTCTTCAAATGAGGTGTCTTACACATTAAACTTTGGATAATAAGGAAGTGCGACAAGCGTAACGGTTACCGGCGCTGAAAATGAAATTGAATGTACGATTTCGTATCCCAGTTGTGTCTGTTGCGTTCATTTCGTACTAATAGCCTTGGGAAAAGCAGGAATCCATCTTTTCTCACGACAAATTATGGATAAAATAACAAATTGGAAAGAAGAAAAAGATCTGAAAACAGTCTAATTGGGTGCACTACCGGTGGTATTAGGCATGGTGGAATAATGGATAGCGGCTCGAATTGAGGAATCGGAGAGCCGAGTTCGAATTCCAGTCGGATCCATTACATTCATTTACGTGCTAATACCCTTGGGAAAGGGATGAATCCTCTACTTCTCCCCCCCCACCTCAATATCAGGACAGACCTGGTTCTATAGCCTTAGATGGCATCTGGTTTACCGCAGAAAGAAATGTCAACTTGCTGTGGGGAAAAAATCTGCTCGTCAGTCATGTATCGAAAAACGACAGACAAGTTACTACGATTAAGCTATTTATGTCAATACCCAGAGTGGACTGTCTGTTTCATGGTTAAACGCAATTCTCATGGTCTGATGATTGCGCTTAAGCATGAAACAGCCTCTGGGTCTTGACTTCAATATCCACATTTATATTTACATGCGCTCTATCCCTGGTATTATACCTGAAAACTATACACACTTATATATATATATATATATATATATATATATATATATATATATATATAAAGACATATTTTTTATGTTTATAGGTTCTTTTATAGATAAAAAAATATTTAAGCAAACGCTCTGTTTATAATTAACAGTATTAACAACATTTATCGGCCTGAATGTCGAAGAAATTTTCATAGAAAATATTCGTCCTCCGACAAATGTGGTTAATACTGTTTATTATAAACAGAATATTTACTTAAATATTTGTATCTGTAAAAAGAACGTATAAACATAAAAAAAAAATCTCTTAAAATAATTGTCGGTCTTTGTCCATTTTATAACGCGCGCGCACACACACACACACATGCAAGCACACACACATGCAAGCACACACACACACACACACACACATATATATATATATATATATATATATATATAATATTATGAATTAACTGATTCTGAATTAACACATTCTAATCCAAACAACCCTTATCCTTATGTATGCAAGTACAAATTTAACGGAGAAAAATGACGAATTTTTTTTGTTTTTTGTCGTTTAAAAAGAAACAAACCAGACGACATGAGTCGAACTGATGTCATAATTCGTTGGAAAAAGGCTCCCGTACCCTACCTAGACTTAACCTCTTTTCGAAAGTAACTCATATTTGATACAATAGTTGTTAATAAAAATGAACACGCTACCTTCCCAGTCTAAATGATTGGATTTCTCTATATCCTCGGAAACAAATATTATGAATATATGTGCTTTTAAAACTCAGTAAATTTCAAAATAACTTATTCCAAAATTCGCTTGAAAATGAAAAAGACGTAGTGCTTTTAATTTAATTAAATAATTGAATTTGATGTTTTAGTTTCTGTTATTGAAACATAGTAATTCCTGTGTAGCGAAGGAACCATATTTTTAAATCAGTTAATTTATAATATTTATGCTCTGTCAATTTACATTGAGCACTGTTTTGAAAAAATAAAAATATCAATAAGAACACAGTATCATATATCTTACCGTTCTTTCTTTTTTATATATATATATATATATATATATATATATATATATATATATATATATATATATATATATCATGTGTTGTGTGTGCATATATATAATGTGTTTGCGTCTATATATATATATATATATATATATATATATATATATATACGTAAGCAAATTTTAAAAATGTAAACATAGATACATTGATGGATATTTTGAAGGAATTAATGGCATTTATTTTTAAATCGAAATTATTTTTCATTACTCAAATTATAAATTTTAGTGATGCACGTCTTTGAGTAGACTCCCTGTTTAATTATTTTAAACCTGCCGAATTGTTTCTCGAATGCGCAGGATGGTGGATGTAAAAACCAAAATGGTGCATTTACTAAAAACACGAGTGTCCACTAAATATAACGTTCACAGTTAATGAATAGCTCTATCGTACATTTGATTGCTGTCATCTTTTTTTCGAAATAAATCTGATATATCTGAGTCCTAATTTTCTCTCCCAGACGAGATGTGACAAGCCTCTCGCTACTTCCCTGGAAAATGTTCCTGCCAATTCTAACCTTCATGTTACCCGCTTTGTAGAGAACCACCCTCATTTCATTCATCGGTGAGAATTAAGTTCCACTCGAGCAGCTTGTTCCGCGTGGAACCACCTCTTAATTGCTGTTGTTGCCCCCCCCCCATGACACGGGGTAGTCGCAGCTGTGGTCAAATAATTAACCCCCAAACTGGAGTCGAAACACTGTACAATTTATATCTTAACGTTTATATTAAAAACTAGCAGTAGAGTCCGGCGTTGCCCGGGGATGTAACAGTAAGAGATAGATCAAATATCGACCATCATAAAGACTGAAAAATAAAATTGACAAAGATTATTGTTTAAGGTTGACGGACACGCATGTCTTAATTTTTTTTTTTTTTTTTTTTTTTTTTAACGAATTGGTCAAACCAAACTCAAACAAAAGCATTATTATGAGTCTACCGATTGAATAGAATTTTATTATAAACAATTGTCTTGTAAATGGAATTTTTAAAGCATTCTGAATGAAAAAAAAAAAAAAGAAAAAAGTGTGCAAGACAATAAGAAACACTACCTGCCAAAAAAAATGTGAAGTTTTGTTGAAATCGGTTGAAAAATGTAGGAAATCCGATCCCATATGTAAACGAACACACACACACAAACAACCTGGGTTTTATAAGTATAACTCGATATGAGTTGTCTCCCTTTCATTCTGGCGACAGAATCGTGTTTTATCGTGTTTTCAAATTGATTTCTTGCAAAAACTATTGTATTTTTTCCAATTTTTGGCGCTGTCAGAACCACCGCAAGGTAATTTTACAAAGTCCTGTGAAGTTTTGTTGAAATCGGTTGAATAATGTGGAAAATCCGATCCAATATATAAACGTACAGACACACACACACAATCTGCGTTTTATAATAAGTAAGATACCAGCAATACTTTTTCATAGTTAAAAGAAAATTACCAGCAGTACGTTTTTGTAAAAGAAATTACTAATTAAATTTTGGCATTAAATGACCCGTAAATTGCTGATACGCATCTAAACAAATAATCCTGTCTCTGTCGAAACCTCTGCTCTGTGAAAACTATTCCCAAGAGAACCGAGAATCACTACTCTGTAAAACCGACTCCCACGAGGATGTTTTCCCGATAGCTCCAACCTTAACCTGTTCAAGTATTGTGTTAAACATTATCTTCCCCACATATCCTCATAGTCTGTGCCTCTTACTCTGTAGCCCTCTACTTTGAGTGGCTCGCGGGACGTCTGTGTGTGTTTTGTGTGTGTGTGTGTGTGTGTGTGTGTGTGTGTGTGTGTGTGTGTGTGTACATGCGAGGAGGTTAAAATATTAAAAAAAACACAGTTTTTATTATGCGCCGAGAGGAAACATTGATAATGTTTATGATACAAACACTTGTATAAATTAATACAAACACTAAAGATAATATTAATTAATACAAAACAAATTAATAGCAACCTAAAACCTGAAGACAGATTTTACACTATAGCATGTTATAATTGTCACAAATAATATATAGGTGAGACGTCGAAGAATTTAAAGAAAATATCATATGAGCTCAAAGATCTTTTACAGAACAACACGCCCGGTATATTAGCCATCTGTCGTAATGAATCTTATCATAATTGCAACTTTAA